AGTGATGGAGCAGCATGTGTCGTTCACGTTCTTACAACACCTCACTATTCCTTATTTAATGTAATTCTCCCTCATAAAAAAGTAGGATAGTGTGATGGTAAGAATTTTGAAACATGAAGGAGGCTTCTGCAAGGAGGGGCATTTTGGCCTTAAAATTGTTGGGATGCATCCGGGCTCTAGGGAATGAGGTTCCCATGGTCCCAAATATGTTTGGTAACCTATTTACCAAAATCAATGGGCAATATCTAGAGGAGGATGCTAAATTTCCTAGATGGGTTAGATTGACTGAATCAAAGTTGTGGGCATGAATGGTTGAGTTTGCCTTTACTATATTCCGAGAGAGGATGATGGAGTTAGGGTTCTACTCTGCAGTGCAAGCTTCTCAATACAGCATTGAGATTTGTGCATTAGTATCATACAACATCCTGGGCTGTATAATGTGAGTTGTATAATGTTGATATCAATATCTTCCTCACTCCGATAGGAGAGATTGGGATTGTCTTGCACGATATGTTTGAAGTATCTCGGCTACTGATAGGATAATGACCATAAGAAGAGTTGGTGTATTATGCTTATGTTGGTGAGATGTTCTGGGAGTTAGTTTGCTACTTCCACATTTATCATTAAACAGTTGTGAATGTAGCACATGGCCCACATGTCACTCGTGTGCTTTCGGTAGAGTACCTCGTCATCAATGTAAGCAAGAAGGGGAACATAGAGCCCGTTCCACCACGCACCAGCCTCAAAGTGAAGAATAGAATATTCAAGTATGGTCTGGTAATCCAAACTGCTAAATTAGACGAGTGTGAGTTTAAGGCGGGAGACAAGTTTGAGAGCTTTCAAGCTTTACTTGTAGGGTTCCATTCAATTTTGGCTGAAAGGATGTATCATGCCCTCTCGGCTGAATGACTACATTTTCATCAAAATGTTATACCCGATAGTTCTTGCTCATGGGTATAATTTGGCTTTGCTCCTGGCCATGATCAGCTGGATCCATCATTGATTGAGGGAGTTGACAATAGAAATATTTGAACTCGCAAGGAGGTTGTCTGAGAGAGGAAGCGGTGAATCCCAGGGGGAAGTACCTTACACTTATCTGATAGTGTGATATGCATTCCACTATTCTTCACTCATGTTTGCTGCCATAATGTGTGAAGAGGGGGTCATGTTGCTACAGTGATGTGGATCCTCCAAGTGGACGAACAAGTGTGCTATGGGGATCCGCAAAATTGTGCAGAACAAGTACCACTATCATCTCTATTGCTACTTTCCTAATATCAACCGAACTAAATTCCATGATGAATTTTAAGATGATCATGGACCCGAGGGTATCACCTGCTTAACCAGTGGTTTCTTCGACTAGTTGGCTAATATTAGACCTGAGAATCTCATCGCTCTCGTGAATGGGACAAAGTGCTAAGATTAACCCTATCTTCTTTGCAGTCTCACGCAACATTTTGGATATGACTAGCTTTATATTGGTAACTCAAACACAGGGTCTTTATGCTCTGGGAGTCTCATGGACGGAGCTTGTGCTTGGTGCCTCTTCACTGATGTGGGCACCGGTGCTAAGTTCATCTTGCCTTATAGTTGTTGGCCTCTTTGTTTTGATGATGTTTAACAAACAATTTACCACTAATGTTGTTTGTTTAGTATTGGTGTATTTCTATTTATTATAGACAAACAACACGTTGCAAAATTTTGTTATGATATGTAAAAAACTTCTAAGTTGTAATATGTTCTAAATAGACTATTGTTTAAGAATGTTTCTCATTTGCAAAATATTTCTAAAAGATAATCTTTATTTGCAAATGATTCTCGTGCACGAGCTAATGGTCCACAAAAGCAAATGAATCTCTTTCATTACACATATTACAATCGGAATGGTCATTTGAATAATTATTGCTTTGACCGTGTTAGTGCACTACATGCGCCTAAGAGGGTTCATAACTCTAGAGCTTTGAGCTTTATTGATAGGGGTCATGTCCCTAAACAATCCGGCATCAAGAATGCTTGTGTGCCAAAATGATTTTTAAATCAAGAATTTTAATTTTTTTGTTATTTTTCTTTTTCTTGATTTTTAAAATTATGCTTTAAATTTTTTTATATGAAAATAATTTTTAATTGATCAAATCTTTTGTTTTCATGATTATTAGTCTCGATTTTGATGAGAGATTTGTGTTTATATAACCCTTCGGGTTTATTGGGTGTTTATTTCCAAATTTTGTTTACCGGGTGCTAAAATGCTTATATGGGTTAGAACAAGCTTAAGAGCTTGATATATTGTTGGCTCTCTTGCATTTTGTCAAAAAATTTGTTTTGATTCGTTGCTTTGAATTTATTATATAGCACAAATAGATGATTCAAATTTTAAATATGCTTTATAATGCATTCTATATGTGGTTTGATCAAGTCCTACAAAGAAAATTTTCTTTATTGATCAAACATCTTTTTTGGGGGGTTTAAATCATGATTTATGATTTTATTTGGTTGATTTGTTTTCATTTGAAAACGTTTTGCATGATTCTCATGTTCCTCTCTCTTTTGATTTCATAAATCTATTTATATTTTTTTTGTCGTGTTTTGAGAAACCTATTTATAATGACATATCATTATGTATTCTCATTGTATTTTTTTTATGTGAGTAATATTTAGCATTTTTCATTTATGCTTGCTCACATGCTTGCCTTAGCATTCATTTCATGTATCCTATGAGGCATTTTGATAGGGGGAGCAATCCCTATATTTGTTTTATACTCACCCATGCGTATTTGTAGGGGGAGCTTTCGCTCTCTTCATTCTTTATGGTTTTTCCCTTTTTGATGTTATCAAAGGGGGAGAAATATTGTGAGTATAGCCTTTCTTATTTATATGCATGATATATTATACTTTGTATATTCATTTCCTTTCATGCATATATCCTTTTTGTAAATTGTTTGTCATCATCAAAAAGGGAGAGATTGTTGGCCTCTTTGTTTTGATGATGTTTAACAAACAGTTTACCACTAATGTTGTTTGTCTAGTGTTGGTGTATTTCTATTTATTATAGACAAACAACGCGTTGGAGGTTGGATGAAATTGCACCATAACGATCATATCCAATAGAGGTTGACGGAATCGTGGAGTGAAGCCTTGCAATTCAAGTTAAAGACTCAAGTTCAAACTTCATCCGCAAGTGTACCAAGATAGAGCTTCGTTGAAGATCACAAGCTTGGGTATAATTAGTTTAAGAGTTTATATTATGTGTGTTAAGTATAAATATATATTCATATACATACTCATATGTTTCATATTCTATTGTATTTGTGAAAATATTATATTCTCTATTTTTAGACTTAACAATAATCATATACATCTTTTATTAAGTCTACAAAATCATTTTGTAATGTTTTAAAATATGGTTAAGGTAAAATATCAAAACTCATGTGTTTACATTTTCATGTTTTGGACTATTTTGTAAAATAATGATATTTTTCATTTGGGAGGTCCTTTTTGAAAACCAGTTTTTGTAAAACGTTTATTATCATGTCTTCAATTATTTTCTAAAGTTGTACATTTTTCTGATTTTATTTGCTATTTTTAAAAGAGGTTTGAAAATTAGATTTCTGTTTAAATTAGGTTGTGTGCATGTCTTAAGTCGACTCATGAACAGTGTTGAGTCGACTCATAAACTGTTGTGTAGTTTATATTTTGTTTCTCACGAGTAGACTCATAACATCATGAGTCGACCCATCAAGTTGAGTTGACTCATGCTTGTCATAAGTCGACTCATAAATTGTGTTGGATAGTGTGTTTTGTTTCTGCTGAGTCGACCCATGACTTCATGAGTCAACCCATGCATGATGAGTCAACTCATGAATTTTATGAGTCGACCCATAAGTTGGTTTTTAGCTTGTAACGGCTACTTATGAGTCGACTCATGAACAGTACCGAGTCGACTCATAACACTGTAACGACTATATTTCCAGATTATATTGTTTTTGGGTTTTTGGTCTTTTTGCCTTGTTTTCTCTTGGCTTTGGGTTCCTATAAATACTCCCACATATCCTCAGTTCTAAAAAATTGAAGAAATGTTTTAAACAAGTTTAACAAGGGTTTTAAAGTTTATTTAGTGTGTTTTAAAAGAGTTTGTTTGTGAAGAAGTTTCTTACAAGTGGAGGAGATGTTTTAAAGTTTATTTAGTGTGTTTTAAAAGAGTTTGTTTGTGAAGAAGTTTCTTACAAGTGGAGGAGATCATCTACATTGTTTGAGCTTCATTTTAATCCATCTCTCCATCTTGTTTCTTCTGAGAAAAAATTCTAAACTCAATACTAGCTTTATATTAATTAATTATTGTTTATCATTTTTATCAAGCTAGGATTTACATTGAGTTTATAATTGATTTTCTCATTGCTTACACACGCAACCATTGAGTTTATTGTATTTACATTCATAGTATAATTTGGGTTGTGGGTTTGTGACATTGAGAGTGAGCTTAATTGTGTTCTCATCTATTATAGAGAATAAATCATTTGTTGTATTGTGAGCCTATTTGTGGAGATCACTTTGTGATACACTTGTACACCGAGAGGAGTGTGTGGTGAGAGATGAGGTCGTCCCAAGAGGAGTGAGGTAGATAGTAATACCTAGAGGTAGGTTGTAATTCCTAATACTTGAGGGAGACACGGGCTAGAGACCAACACTTGAGAAGGTGTAAAGTAATATTGCAAGAGTGTGAGATTGTAAAGTTTTCGGTTAGCTAGAAAACCGAATGTGAGGTGTAAACGTTATTTGGGTGAGCATAGAAAACCAGGTTGTGATAGTGGATTTCTCCCCGGGAGTGGGGAGCGAAGACGTAGGATGGAAGGTCCGAACTCCATGATCATATTATGTGTTTGCATTGTTTATATTATCCTATCACAATTGTATCTTTAGTTTACATTGTTTACCCTTGTGTTATTTATATATCCTTGCATATATTTCACCATATAGGATATATCTTTTTGTTCCTATTGCATATTCTTACCTATAACATATTGTATATCTATCTTGCAAGAATAATTTATTAATGAGTTTTAATTGGCATAAAATCATATTAGATTAGCATAAGACCCTAATCACCCCCTCTAGGGTCTAACAATAGTGTCCATAACTACTAACTTTAGGCCTTTGTAAGTGGTATAGTATGGTGAGTATCCCTAATTCACACTTCAAGTTAAATAAGACTGGGGTGAAGTGGATCATCCAGAAGTATAAAAAGGCTTCCACGAAGGGATCCAAAAATAGAGCACTTGGACTCCGAGAGTATCTTGTGCATGCAGGGCTAGATGAGGATGATGATGATCCAGACACCACCCGCCAAGAAGTCACCACCATAAAGGCCTACCAGTATTAGCACACGAGAGTAATAGTCGGTCAAGAAGTGGTAAGTAGATATACTTATAGGAAGAGACCACGACAAGTTCAGTGTCCCTAAGAATAATCTAAACATTGATTTTGGAGTTGTCGATGAAGGAGAAATATCTATCCTTAGAGAAATCTCCTAAGGCAAAAAAAGCCTTCCGAAGCTTCAGCACATGAACAAGTGGCTTAGTATACAACTGCTTTAGGTAATTTTTTGTCTTTGTCATTATCCAGATTTGATAAATGCACGCTATAGTGATGCATGCTCCTTGGTTGCAGATAAGGAATCTGCATGAGTCAATTGGGTGAATTTAAGGGGAAAGAGAGGGTTTACTATGACACTAACGCTTACATCACCGACCCTGATGAATCTACTCGAGGAGACGACGTAGGTTTATCGTATTACATCCCAAGTATGATTTCATTCACAAGGATGATGTAGCCATTCTTACTTGAAGATTAATACTTCATCTCTTTTATTTCGTAGACATTGAACCTACATCAGAAGTTAATGCCACGATGACCACATCCTCTTCTGTTGCAGAGCCTGCTGCTAAGCGTCCAATCTCCATTAAAGATTCATCTGAATCCATTGGAGATGTACCGATCTCTCCATTTCCCTAAGGAGGTGAGATAGGGGTTAAACCAATACTCGAACCTCCAATTGAGAGCGGTCCTTCAACAACGATGAAGAAATTTACCAAATCGAAAATCAAAGTTTCTTCCATTGATGATGAGTCTACGGTTACAACTACAACTACAACACTGGTCATACGACTTTCCAAACCTTTGGTTACAATGACTCTAGCTTTTGCTACCTCGATTGGTATTTTGATTGTTTTGACTTTATTTGCTCCATATTTTATGCCAAGCAGGGATCAACTATAGCCCGGATCGCTTATGCCTCCTATCATTACTGAGGCTTTAGCTATTATGATTAAAGTGGGATAGTCAAGGCCAGTGGAAGTTCCTCTATCTCCGGACTCTAATGATACAGTCAAGTCTGATATTCAGATCTTAATTGAAAGCTTGATGAAGCTGTTCAGCCAAAGTGTCGAGACTGCTCTAACTGCTGGCAAAGGTCTATCCTCCCGCACTAAGTGTTTGTTTCAGAGTTAGCTTGACACCCTTGCATTAGCTACTAGAGTCGAACGCACCGAGCCCGACAAGAGAATGATCAACCAAGCTGAACTCCATTTTCTTGAATTGCAGAATCTTTGTGAGGCTGATGTCACTATTGTCATGAAGCTTGAGTTCCATCATCTTATGGCAAAATGTTGTAAGCTTGAGGAGACAGCCCGCAAAGAGGCAGAAGATGTCAAGCAACGTCTTCAAGAGTTGACCACTCATATTGCAAAAATTGATAGTGAGAATGCTAAAATTGCTAGTGTTATCTTTGGGAGGGATGCTACCATCAATAAGGCTAAGGTCATTATTAGAGACGACCCACTAGTAAAAGGGGGAACTCGGGACTAAGTCTACAGAATTAGTTGTTGAGCAAGCATATAGAGCAAAGCATTTAAAGGTGGAACGAGCCTAATTGGATGCTGTTAAAGCCCAAGCAGTTCCAGTTGATCCATAGGCTACGAGGAAGTAAGCTGTGAAAGGACCCCTTAAAGTGCACAAGGTAGAGATGGCCAAATGGGTTGAGCACATCAAGACTTTGTATCGCTCTTAATTCTTGACTTATCTCCATGCCACATTTTTTTTCTTTTGGGCCAAATCATTTGTAATAGCTTAGTTATTTTAGCAATAAAGAACTTTGATTTTGGATAACATAGTTGAATGATAGAGGTGCAATGTTAAAATATTGTATGAAATTTAGAACGGCTAAAACTCTTAGGGGAAAATGCTGAGTTACAAGGTTCAACTCCCCAAAGAGGAGTCGACAGAGGTGTAGTGTTAATCAGTCAATGATGTCACACTAATAGAGATGTAGTATTAATGTATCAAATTTATAGAGTTAGTACTGTTCAGATGTGTAATCTTAACATAACAGTAACAAGGAATTTGATAGAGGTGTAACATTAATGTGTCAAATGGAGCAACCGACAACCAGTCGGGTTTAAGGGAGTATAAGGGATAACTATCGTCTAAAAGTGTAATGTTAACTTAACGGTATAAGTGTTCGCGGGAAAAAATGCTTTCTTCATTGAATTCATTGTTCTCTCGAGTAATTGTTTTTCGATTACAAAAGATCCGGTCTTTTTATAAGATCCGGTTACAACGAAATCAAAGAAAAAATAAAAAGATTACAACTTTCCTTTTTTGTCGAACGAATCGCGAGATCCTGTTTTGCGGTCTCTCGCTTTTGTGGGTTCTTCACCTGCGCCGGGGTTAATCCGTGGACCACCGCGCGATCTAGATCCGGTCGGATCTACACGATATGACGGGTATTATTTCGCAAAGGAAATAATAGCCGGGGGGATTAATTCACCAAGGAAATAATCGCCCTAGTAATCGAAATCGACCAAGCGAAATCGAGACTCTTCTCGGGATCAAAAACCAAGTTTTGATCCGGAGGATAACCATGTAGATCTCAGATCTGATCTCTCTCGAACTCCTACCTTATTTGGCGTGGATGATCGCCAAGAACCAGATCTGATATGTCCAAGTCTTCAAAGTTCCAAAGCTTCAATCTTTTTAAGTTTTGAGCCTTCAATCCAGCAGAGCTTCGCCTCCAAAAATTCCAACCTCTCACAAATGATCCCTCAAGTCCTATTTATAGGCACTCAGATCTGTGCCTTGGTACAGATCTGGGTCGGCCACCTCTAGGTGGCTCGGCCACCGAGCCACCCATGGGTGGCTCGGCCTTGGCCGAGCCCCCTTAGGCGTGGTTTTTCGTCGTTTTCCGTTTTCGGTTCAGTCCGTGATCCGGTTCTGTGGTTGATTTATCCGGACTTGAATCGTTGACCTGATTTGGCAGTAAATCCACTT